GAATTAAGCTGAAATATCAAATTAACCCATTCCTGTCATTCATGGTCTGTTTTGATGACTCTCTGGGCATGTATTCATATTCTCAGAAAAGGTATTTTTGCATGGATTGTAATTTAATTCAACTAAAAGTTACATCAAACAAATATTTGTTTTTATGCTAGGTAAATCACTAATTCTTGTGTCCTTTTTTTTAAAAAAAGATTTCAAAGACAGGGTCTAAAAATTCTCCTGCCTCAGCAATGTCCATGTTTTAAACACGTTGATTACAATAACGAACAAAACGCTGAGAAAACAGTTCCTGGGCACCCGCAAACTTGCCCTTTGAAGGGCACAGGGGCTGCTTCTGTGTTTCGGGAAAGTGGAAGACGTAAAGGGAATAGAATTAGATGATGCTTATTGTTTCTATTTCTGTGACAAAACACCACTGCCAAAGCAACTCGGGGAGGAAAGGGTTTATTGGGCTACACCTCCACCAGCACTATACGTCCCTGAAGGAAGTCAGGACAGGAACTCAAATAGGGCAGAAACCTGGAGGCCCAGGAGCTGATGGAGAGGCCATGGAGGATGCTGCTTTATGGCTTGCTCCCCATGGCTTGATCAGCTTGCTTTCTTACGGAAGGACCACTGGACAGGGAAGGCACCAACCACAGTGGGAGGGCATCAATCATTAATTAAGAAAATCCTTACAGCTCAGTCTACAACTGGATCTAATGGAGGCATTTTTTAAATCGAGGTTCCCTTCTCTCTGATGACTTTAGCTTGTGTCAATCTGATATAAAACCATCCAGCACACTTATAGTTATCAAAATTTCCCCAAACTCTGAATATCCTGGGGAACATGGTGGTATTTACCTATGATCCAAGCACTAAGAGAATGAGGAAGGATATTGCCAAAAGTCATAGGCCAGTCTGGGCAACAAAACAAGAACCTGTCTCAAAAAATGAACCAACCAAACCAAACCACAATACCCTGAATATCCTACCATGAGATGATTAACTCACCCTATGAAATGTAACTTTTTGTTGTTGTTGCTAAGGCGGATGTGGGGAGCCCACAAGTCTACAGTAACTGTGCAGCAGACAGATCTATTGGACTATCATCGAGAAGTGTATACGCACCCTCTACTTGGACTAACCTGTTTTTGCACAGCTATGGGGACATCTGTCCTTTGGATAAGCCACTGTCAATTCTGTAAAAATCTTGTGAAATTATGGCATTTCTCCCTTCTCTAGTCTCCCAGCAGTGTATAAACCTGACTTTTCTTGTAGGGCAACTGGATACCTTACCCACACCGTCAAGCCATGGTGTGAAAAGGATTCAGTCAAGTCCTTGTTCTCACAGCCAAAAACTACATAAAAATATTTCCCCACAAACTTTCTTTATTGGCAGTCGTCACTGATAAGGAGCTTCATACAGGAGGTAATATGTCTGTTCTAACAGCAGACTCAAGAAGATGTAATCTTCCAGTCTTCTGCTCTGACTTAACAGGCAGATAAATATTCTATATTTACCCTTTACCTTGGTTTTAACTAACATAGGATCATAACCCAGGAAATTAACTGTATTATACAGGAAAAATGCCTGAGTTGCTAAAACTAGCTTCAGAGAGAAAAATTCTCACCTGGGCACCCTGCTGCAGTCAAAAGCAGGATCCCCAGAAGAGATTCCGAACCCCGAGAGAGCGCTGAGGCTGGTACTCAGTAGCTCTCTCTCGATAGGCAGGGTCTTGCCATATAGCCTTGACTGGCCTTGAACCTATACAAACCAGTCTGGCCTCAAACTCACAGAGACCTACCTGCCTCTGCCTCCTGAGTGCTCTGACTAAATGTGCATCACCATGCCTGGTTAATTAAATCATTTTTAAGTCAAAGGAAAAAAAGACATAGCAATGATGTTCATCATGAAATGTTGTTTTGGCTGAGTGTGAAAAAGCACCGACAGCGAGGAAATGAAGGAAATGGACCACAATTCTGCGCTAGTAATCCCTAGAGGGCAAGAACAGGTGGCTTTTCCGTAGTCTCTGCTGTTTATGTTTTGCATGATGCAGGGGAGTAGGGAAGTCTCTCAACACATCTCCAGAATAGTTTCCAAAATTAAAAGTTATCTAGCAGGCCTAATCAGTCTCCTTGAGCTCAATGTCATTTAAGAATTACCACTGAGGCAGTTAGCCTTTAATCCCAGCACTTGAGAGACAGAGGCAGGTGGATCTCTGTGAGTTCGAGGCCAGCCTGGTCTATAAGAACTAGTTCCGGGATAGGCTCCAAAGCTACAGAAAAATCCTGTCTCAAAACACAAAACAAAACAAAAAGAAGAAAGAAAGAAAGAAAGGAAGGAAGGAAGGAAGGAAGGAAGGAAGGAAGGAAGGAAGGAAGGAAGGATTACCACTGTGGCTTCCTTATTGAGCTACTGAGACTTAACTTCCCAAGGCATTTAGGATGAATTCAAATTCCTTAGTTTTATTTTCAGGCCGAGGTCCCTGTCCTGCAGTCACCTCAATTTCCACCACTCACCTCTTCATACTGTGTCTAGCCATGAGTCTTTAAGCATCCTGTTTTGCATAGGACACCTCCCTCACCACTACCAGACTTCCTGTGAAGAGCTCAAAATTACAAACAGTAACCGACTCCAGTACTTGGATACCAATTCTGCCTCTTCCCCAGACCATGGCAGTCTGATTAGAGCAACTATATTTACTCATCACCACGTGAATTTACTTTTCTTGTTTTTCTTTCTCTCTGTTTAAATCTTGTCATGTTGACCTTATTTGCCTCCCCCAAAGAGTATCAGCATCCTAATAGCAGGACCTTTGCCTGCTTCTTTTACTAGTACACTCGCAGTACTAACAGCAGTGGCTGGAAATCACTGAATACACAGAGAAACTAATGAATTTCCCAATGAAGACATTAACACAGAGAAAAAGAAAACATGACGAGGAGCCTGCTCAGCAGCAAGCTGGGAGACGATGTTCTTCATTCCCAGCCATCAAAAGGAGCCAAGCCCCATCTTCATTTGCATGCACGGGCGTGCTCCTCAAATCTGTGTAGACACTACCTGACTGGCGGACGCCACACAGCAGATACTCAAGAAATGTCCTAAACGAGCACATGAACAAGGAGAAGCTTAAGAGTGGAGTAAGCGAACTCCTCTGAAGTTTAGGAAATACTATTTCCTAGTAGACGGTGAATTTATAATTGGTACCTAATCCGATGCCAGTGTTGGAGGAGCCACAGGGTGGGTGTGGGGGCCACTAAACTAGCCAAGTTTTCTTATCTAGCTATTTTAGAAGGTCTAGCCACCCTTTCTCTAGCAGCATGCATTTGCATATTTAGAAATGTTTTTGCAGGACAAAAGGTATGGCTCAGCAGTTAAAAGCAGTTGATGCTCCTCCAAGAGAAGCTATGAATTTCCAAAATCCAAAGGGGAGCTCACAACCTTTTGTAACTCCAGATCTGGGGGATCCAACACCCACACCGATCTAGCCGCTGCAGGCACGGGCCACACATGGAGCACAGACATGCATGCAAGCAAACACCCATATGCATAAAAAAATAATAATGTAAACTTTTTTTCAGGAATGAAAACAAGAGGAAGAACAAAATAGGATAAGGAGGGAAATGAGCCTTGTTTTTATGACACTCACATTTTACTCAAGCAATCAGAAATGAAGATCACTGAGATCTCATTCTCTAGAACGAGAGGCTGACAGGGCAGTAACTGATTCTGTGGTTGAGGGTAACTAGACACGACTACTTTAAGATGATCATGGAGTGTCTCAGACCTCAAGTAGAGAAGAAATTAGCCCCAGCAACTGTCACGAAGAACATTCTACGCTAAAGAAACACCAAAGACCAAGCCTCCAGAACAATAAACAGTATATCTGAAGAACAGAAAGGTGGTCACTAAGAGCCAGGCATGCTGGCATCTGTAATCTCTGTGATCAACAGGTTGAGAGGGAGAGATCCAGAACACCAGGCCAGACTGCTGTTTAAAATAAATGGGAGGAAGTCAAAATAAGAGTATCTGGAGAGAAGACATGCTAAGTGAGGTAGATGCTATACATGGAGGGCACAAGTCCATGAAGGTTTTAGGTAAGAAGAACGAGGCATATGAGGTTTTGTTCTTGCTCTACATCATCGGGGCTGCAGTAAGGAGACCCGATGCCGGGGGGAGGCCAGAAGAGGCAACTTCACCCACTCAACAGAAGCACAACATGGACAGGATATCGAGCTATAAAATAAAAAGATTGGGGACAGATTTCGGTGATTCCGAAGCGGAACTGAACTTGCCGACGAACTGGAAGTTAAGAAGAGGAGGGTTTTAATAGGTGGGTAAGGTTGATTCATTGAGATGGGACAACCGGGGAAAGGGTATGTTTAAGGGAGAAACTGTAGTTTTTGCTTTGTTCAAGACCAAGGTAAGAAGCGCATCCCAAACCTGGGGCCGGACTTACAGTGGATGCAACTTGGAAAGAGATCCTCGCACTACAAGGTCTCCCTCGGTCCTAGTTTTGGTATCTCTACGGCACCGGGAAACTGCGAAGCTTTCCTGCTCGGCCCTCAACACTTGCCAAGAGGCTGGACTTGGCCCTAAGGGGTTACGGTGGGGTCAGGGCTGACTGTGGAGGCCTTTGGGCGCCGCGCATCCGGCCGTGGAGACCTAGCTGCAGACACAGATCCGCCCCGTCGCCCGCCCTAGCCTCCGCCACCATCGTTTTGCACGCCGCAGACTCGGTCTCTCACCCGCTTCGCTCTCCTCGTGCCGGGCTGCTTTGTTGTCCTCGGCTTCCCGGCCGCGCCCCCGCCGCCTTCCACCTGCAGGGCGCTTTCGAGCCATGCTGCCCGGCAGCGTCACTCCTGACTCCCGCGTTAGGCTGCAGCGAGTCACTGCGTGCTCATTTCGCCCCGAGGCGGGCCATGTCTGGCCGCGCCCCCTAACGAGGGTTGGGCCACGCCCTCCAAAGAAGCTCCGCCCCCATGTAAACTACAGGGGCGCAAAGGGACAAAAATAATACACGTCTACTTCCAGTGAGTGGAAGCCTTGCGTTTCTGAGCGCCTGATCTCGCGAGAGGTGGAAAGGGCGCAGCGTTTGAAACATGGCGGACGACGTAGATCAGGTAAGTTTCTTGAGGCGCTCGTGGAGGAAGCGCTTACGCTTCCCGGCTCGGTTTACTTTTTCCACGCTCACCGACAAGTGGACCGTTGCTTCACCCCCCCCCCCGAGTAACCACGGCCTTCCTTAGCCGCTCCTTTTCCTTAAACTTTGAAGGCCCAGAGCTTTTTCAACCCGCCTATCTGCCCATCGCGCTCGTCGGCGGCTTGTATCTGTAAAATGCAGACGGCTCTCGATGCCCAACAGAAAGCGTGATGTAGTGGTGAACACCAGCTTAGTAATTGCACAGGCAGTGGAGTGTGTTATGAGGGAGGCCAGATAAAAGGTGCATTTAGTTTACGAGATAGAGAAACAGGTAGAGATGTAATATGAAGAAAACAAGCCAAAATCGGGGACACAGGACAACGGACAGGCCTACAGGCCTCTTCACCTACTCTCTCCTACTCCTTAGGTGTCTACGGAGTTCCCCGACCACAGAAATGACTTGCGCTCCTACGCACGAACACACCCCACACTCCCCCCACCCCTACTGTTTCTCTTCACAGCATGTTATTTTAAACGTATATTTCTTTACTTAATGTGATTCTTCCACAACTAGAATGTAAGTTCTTTAATAGGGATGGGGGCGTGTGTGCTGGAGAGATGGTTTAGGGGTTAAGAACACTTGTTGACCCTGGTTGGGTACCAGCACCCCCGATGCATCTTAACTCCAGTTGCTGGGGATCTGGCCTCTGCTACAAAGCAGTGTGTGCATGTGGCACACATACATACAGGCAAAAATCTCACGTAAGAGATAAAAATGAAGCTTTACAAAGGGGGTTTTCTATCTTTATTTTTTCCTTAGGTTTAGAACAGTGCTGGGAGCACTCAGCGGGTCTTTGTTGAGGGAATTAACCCAATGTTGAGGGGAAGCTTCTTTGAAAAGGCAGTATTGAAAGCTGCAGGGTGAAAATGATTGGCAGTGGGCATTCTAGACTGGGGAGGGCTGTCGTGGGGATGCTTTCATCGGTTTACTTGTATTTATGTGCCTTTCTCCATATTAGAATGAGTTTCACTGAGGGGGCTGTGACTTGTGTATCGTTGTAAACCAGTGGTTGGCTGTCTTTGGTTCTTAACAAAAGCCTGCTGAACTAAGGGGAAAGGGGGGAGGAAAGAAAGTACCACTTAAGGTCTAGGGTGCGTGTGTAGGGGAGGTGGGGGTTGCTTATTTCCTATCATCCAGCCTCTTATAGCTACACAGTCCGCCATCTTCAGTCAGCTCTCAAGGGCCCAGGTACTCACTGGTGAAGCTTATTGAATAGCTTTAGTAACTCTTAATGGCTGGAACCATCTTTTCCACGTAGCTGACTCCCAAGTCATCCGGGTTCTAACCTTTGAAAATTGTCCCAGCCCTTCTTGAAGAGTAATTCTGAGCTATTATTCCTTTAAAATGACTGACCACGAAAAATAGCATTCTTAAATCTTGAAACAAGCAAGCGATTATGTTAAGTATAAGAATTGCAGGTGCTGGAGCGGTACTGGTGAGACAGCAGGTAACAGCGCTTGCGGTTTACTAGCCTGACAAACTGAGTTCAGTCTCTGGAACCCACAGAGGAGGGCTAGAACTTTAGACTTGAATGCCATAACACAAAAATCCAGAAGGGATTCACACCTGTAATCCCAACATTTGGGAGGATGAGACAGGAGACTTGCTGCACATCAAAGGCTGTCATGGGGCATCATGTCTCTTTTTTAAAAAGTAATGAAGGTTGTCATTAATAAGTATTTCTTTTTACATAAGGCCTTTAAGTCCTCTGAGGGAAAGATGTGGCCTCCCCAGTTTGCAAATGAGGAGTCTGAAACAAGATATAACATGATTTTTAATCCCTGTTCAGAAGAGCCAGATCAGAGCCTGGAGTTGAACACAGGCTGCCTCTGTACTATACTACTTGCTAGATAGGTTCATCTTGTCACCCTGTTGGCGCTCTAAACTCAACCTGCACTGTGTTGGCTCCAAACTCTGTCAGATCTTTTTATTAGTGTGTGAATAGGTATTGCAGGTTCGTCTTTCAGTGATTAAATTAATAAAAGATAAAACTAAGGTCCTTAAGTGGGACTCTAATACTTTGGATTTTGAGGAAGTTCAGTCATGATCATTTTTCTGTTAACTCCTTCCCACATAGTACTTTGACCCTTTTTTACATAACATTGAGGCACCATTCTAAGCATCCATATGCCATTTAAACCTGATGGTAGTATTGGAGACATTGTTTTCTGCATTAGCAAATTAGTCTAAAGCATAGACGGGCTAAGTGACTTGACTTTGGTTACCCTGCTCCCAGTGATTGAAACCCCACACTGCCTCTGGTCGTCCATTGCTAAGCCCTCTTCTTCCATCAGCAACAGACCACCAATACTGTAGAGGAGCCCCTGGATCTCATCAGGCTCAGTTTGGATGAGCGAATTTATGTGAAGATGAGAAACGACAGAGAGCTTCGAGGCAGATTACATGTAAGTCTGTTAAATTATCTCAAAACCAGATGTTTCCCTGTCGTTCCTTCCTACCTCCTTACAGATTTAAGAACTGCAGCACATGCGTACTGTTTTGAATAATGCAGTTTCTTTTGGGAGTTGGAAAATCTTGACAATATGAATATCCTTCATTCATTTTTAAAGTATGTTTCCCTTAGCCAGAATGTTATGAGGGAATACGTGCATGAGTGTGTGCATGTGTACACGTGCTTATAGAGACCAGAACTGGGCATCAGATCCCCTGGAGCTGGAGTTACAGATATGATATGGGTGATATGGATCCTTTGCAAGAATAGCCAATGCTCTTAACATGAGCATCTCTCCAACCCTATAGAACACTTTATCTCCTTCAATTTTTTTCTTCTAACTTATGAATAAACTTATTTGTCCCTTTTGTTTTAGACAAGGTCTTGCATGCAGCCCAACTAGCTTTAAACCTCCTGTGTCCATCTCCTTAGAGCTAGGATTAAAGACATTCTTGGCTTTGTTCTCTGTTCTTAAAGGTTATTGGACAGGGTGGTTTTTTTTTTTGTTTTGGTTCGGTTTTTTTTTTTTTTTTTTAGTTATTGACATCTAAAACCATTTTGTTATGAAAAAAAATTTTAACAGATTAGAGATACAGTAAGAGTGCTTGCCTAGCATGGGGCAAAGCCCCTAGCACTACAAAAGGTGTTAAACAGCATAGAAATCTGTAGAATTAAAAGTGAAATCCTGGCTGGGCGGTGGTGGTGCACGTCTTTAATCCCAGCACTTGGGAGGCAGAGGCAGGCGGATCTCTGAATTTGAGACCAGCCTGGTCTACAAGAGCTAGTTCCAGAACAGACTCCAAAACCACAGAGAAACCCTGTCTCGAAAAACCAAAAAAAAAAAAAAAAAAAGTGAAATCCTATTCGCTTTAAATGACCACTATCCAAAGTTCATTACATAGTCTTCTCTGCGTGTGTATATACTGTTTGTGTTTAAAGAGGGGTCTAGTAAGGTATGTGGCATATACCCATAATTCTAGTACTTAGATGACTGAGACAAGATCATTTGTTTGAGGCCAATATAGACTACATAGTGAAAACCTGTCTAGAAAGGCTTTATATACATATTTTTAACGCCTTCTCCACATGATTTTTTTTTTTTTTTTTGGTGGAATGATTACACAGCTGCTGACTGCACAGGATTCTACGTAAGCAGCAGTCACATTTTTCTTTTATTCCCCAGCTATAAAACTTTATTAGGCACTTTCGTATATTATTGCTTGTGCACACTTATGATTTCTGTGGAATTGGTCCTGTTAAGTGACATCATTGTGAATCTATTTTGTCTCAACTTGTTAGTTTCCTCAGGGCTATTGGTTTACAGCACAGAATTGAACAAGCCTTCTTAAACCAGGCTTAGAAATAACCCTGTGCTGCCAGTGACAGAGCCACTAGGCAGTTGCCCTTCATCCTCACTCTCAGAAACTGTGATAATTCCTTCCCTGGAACCTGAGGACAAAGAACCTCGGGCTGGGAAGGAAATCGGGTCACTAATCTACAAGCTTCCTTCAGAAGCAGTGGTGTCCATGAGATGAGAAAAGTGGAATGGAGCTAAAATACATGGGTCTTTGGCACATGGAATGACACCCCAGGCCAGACCAGTCACCTTTAACTTGGAGGCATCTTGAGCTCTTTCTTCTGTACTAAATGGCCCACCTTTCTGTTTGCTTCCTGCTCTCAGCTGAACATCTTGCTCATTTGTGGAGCTGTCAAGCAGTTCCTTCCCAACATGGCTTTTAGGCTATTTTTACCTTGGTATGGGCAGGCAAACCACTTAGCACTTCCTTAGAAGAACATGTAAGTAGGTTCTGAACAGGCCCCAGGAGGTCTGCCATTTAGTAAAAGGAATGAACTTGGGAGTTTGCACTGAATACTGTGCTCCCAGTTCTTTCTGGATGAGCCAACTAAGCCCAAAGTACATTGAGATCTGGACAGGTTATAAATGGGCAAAGTAGAGGTGGGAGAGATGGTCGCTGTGTAAAGTGTAAGGCCTGGAATTCAGATCCTCAGCACCTGTGGAAACACCAGGTGGGTATGGTGGCTTACCTGTAACCCCAGCCTCTGGAGGCAAAGATAGGATCCCTGAGCAAGCTGGCTAGCTAGTTTGTCAGCAAGCTCTGTGTTCAAGTGAAAGACACGACCTGGGTACATAAGGTGGAGAGCAACTTAGGAAGACATTCAGTGGCAGCCTCTGGCGTCCACACACATGAGAACATGCACATACACATGTACACTACACTCAAGCGTGTCCACAAAAATAGGCCAATTTTTGCTCTACCTGTATCATTTTTGTGAGGGTCACTGACATTGTCCTTGCTGGAGAACTACAGTGCCCTCACATGTTGACGAACTTTATGTTGCTTTCTATCCTTGAAGGAAGTCTGGCAAACAAAGAATTTGCCATTTTCATAATAAACTGTTGTGAATGGTAAGACTTCCTTGGTTAACAAGTACTGTAAGTACTTAAGAAGTAATTTCAAGTTATTTTGAGTGGATTCATTTTTGATGATAAGCAGTATTGTTGCTGGGAATGGCTTGTGATGACATGACAAACTAGCAGAGAGAGACTGTTATTTGCATGTAGAAGTTTTGGGTATAAGTATTAAACATGTTGCTTATAATCCACCTGCATCTTTTGAGTCCTGTTCCTTTTTCTCAAATCTCACCCTCCCACTTCAGGCTTATGATCAACATTTAAATATGATCCTGGGAGATGTGGAAGAAACTGTGACAACAATAGAGATTGATGAAGAGACGTATGAGGAGATATATAAAGTAAGTCCTGCAGGTCTTCTCTTGACAGTGTCAGCTCATCGTGCAGAACTTAACACATATTTATGTGTTAACACCTACTTAGGGACTGTTGATAGAGTATAGTAAGTAAAGCAAGGGTTTTAGAGTCACACAACCTTTTTTTAACACTGATCTTAAAGACAGCTTTATTGCCAAAGCCCTTTCCTACATGGGTGGCAGCTCACAAGCTGCTGCATAACTTACAGGCAGCTCAATGGGTTAGAGAGTGTCCTTTCCAGTCAACTGAGTTGGTCTGAGCCTTGCTCAGAGTACTGGGATTAAAAGCTTATGCCACCACCCCCGCCAGACCACAAATAAAATTGCTTCTTTTCTTTTCTTTTTTAAAATTTGTTTTATGATGCTGGATTGTGGTGGTGGTACTGGCACACTGTTAATCCAAGCAATCAAGAAGGAAAGGCAGGCAGATCTCTGCGAATTTGAGGACAGCCTGGTCTACAGAGCAAGTTCTAGGACAGCCAGGGCTACAAAGAGAAACCCTGTCTCGGAAAAAAGAAAAAAAAAAGGTTTTTTTGTTTTTGTTTTTTTTTTTTGGTATATATGTCTGTGTAGTACATGCATGCCTGGTCTCTGAGGAGGCCAGAAGAGGGCATCAGATCCCTTGGAACTGTTCGTACAGTTGTGAGCCACCGTGTGAGTGCTGGGTATTGAGCCTGGGTTATCTCTGGAAGAGCAGCCACTCTCTAAACTACTGAGCCATCTCTTCGTCCCCCTACAATAGTTGTTATAATGTGTTGTGTGTGTTTCTGCTACAGACACAGGCAAGACAGTCTGCAGTCCATTTCATGCAGCAGTGTGGAGAACAGTGCCTTGCTGTCTTGTATGTTCTCATTACCTTTTTTTTTTTTTTTTTTTTTTTTTTTTTTTTTTTTTTTTTTTAGTTTTTTCGAGACAGGGTTTCTCTGTAGCTTTGGAGCCTGTCCTGGCACTAGCTCTTGTAGACCAGGCTGGCCTCGAACTCACAGAGATCCGCCTGCCTCTGCCTCCCGAGTGCTGGGATTAAAGGCGTGCACCACCACCACTGCCCGGCTTCTCATTACCTTTGAAATGGGAAACCAAACAACAGCCTCCCCTTGGACCATTGTTTTGCCCTCTCTCAGTTGACATAACTAGTGAATAACAACATTCCCAAAACAGGAAGGACTGTGGACCGCTGGGAGTCCCTGAGGTTTTTCCCACAGCATGCATCATTAACTCCTAAGTGACTGGATTGATACCAGCTTGCCAATAGGAAGGCAAAAAGAGTTAGCCCTGTTCTCGCTCCACCGCAGAGTATTGCTTTTCTGATTGGTAAAGCTCTGTTATTTACCTCTAGCCCACATTCCCTGCTCTCCATCGTGTTTACCGCCTTCTCTCACCAAACAGCCCACAGTGTGGCACACTGCCTGGCTTCTTGTGGTGATGCTGTGCTCTTTGGAGCAGAACCTTCTTGCTCCTCATCATGAAGCACCAGTTCTCACGTAATTACAGACCTGCTGGAAATTGAGGAGACAGCATCTCTGTCAGACCACTCTGATTAACCCTCACCTGGGCTTCAGAAGGCTGCATGGTCTTTGCCTGAGGACAAGGTATTTTTACCAGGCTTTGTCCGTCTTTTTTCTTTTTTTTTTTTTCTTTTTGGTTGGGCTTAAAAGCACCTGGCATAGTTGTTTTTGTCTGCCTGATAACTAGCCAGTTCTTGCCTGGTCTCATCCTTGTACTTTCCTGCTGAGTGCATCTGTTACACCGTGGCACTTATTAACACATGGCTTTTTCCAGCCTTTGTCCCCAGAGTCTGCAGGTTTGGGAGGCCTTTTGGCTGCTCCTAAGTTCTGCCTAACATTTTGCCAGGCAAAATGATGACTCCAGGTTGTGCCGTGTTTGTTGACTGCCCAAAGCGTGATCACTAAGCCTTGATGGTTGTGTTCCGTTTGTGCTCACAGGAATGCATAGAAGCAGGTGTGATGGCAGGGCACACTGGAGTCTGAGTCCCTGCCTACAGGTCAACACAGCGGCATTCTTTCAGGTACTAACTTGGGGACATCGACTTCTGCCTTCCTGTTCTTGAGATCTCAGACTACCCATTGGCATTCAGAGGAAGTTACCCTTGAAGCCCAGGCTAAAATCCAGTTGTAGCTGAGGATGTAACTCAGTAAAGCGTTTACTTAGAATGTTCAAGAGTAGCTGGCAGTGGTGGCGCACGCCTTTAATCCCAGCACCCCAGAAGCAGAGGCAAGTGGATCTCTGTGAGTTTTAGGCCAGCCTGGTCTTCAGGCTGTTCCAGGACAGCCAGAGCTACACAGAGAGACCCTGTCTTGAAAAACAACAACAACAAAATATGAACAAGAGTTCAATCCCCAGCACCCACTCCCCCTAAATCAACCCAGAATCGGATAAAGTGGCATACTCCTATAGTCACAGCATCTGGACTGGAGAGATGGCTCAGAGGCCAGGAGCACTTGCTTCTTCACAGTCTCTCTCCATAACAAAGGCTGTCTTGGAAATGGACCATGAAACCAAGTTGGACTTGAACTTGAACCATTGGTGACCTATGATTCACCCTAACCCTTCTCCATCCTGGTATTACAGTCTTGAGCCACAATGTCTGACTTGTTTTTATTTTACATTTATTTATCTATTTCCTAAGTTTTAAAAAAGATTTATTT